GGGGGGCACTGCAGGTGCTGTGGAGGGGGGTACTGCAGGTGCTGTGGAGGGGGGTGTGGGTGCTCGGGAGCAAGTCACAGCCTGGGGGGCAGTGTGGATGCTGGGGGTAGTGGAGCTGAGGCAGGCTCCCTAACCAGCTCCTGGGAAGCAGCAGCCCCAGCTCCTAGCTCCACGTGCTGCCTCCGCTCCACCCCAAGCCCTGGTTCTGCAGCTCCCATTGGCTGGGAACCATGGTCAATGGGATCTGTCAGGGCAGTGTCTGCGAGTGGAGGCAGCACATGGAGCTAGGAGCTGAGGGAGAGGAGCCTCCCCAACCCCAGGTAAGCACCAGCCCCAACCCCAAGCCCTGAGCCCCCCCCACACCTAAACTCCTGCTGTTGTGGGGCGGAGGGCCCCGAGACTGCACCAGCAGCAGCCAGTGCAACTTACCCTGGGACTGCCCAAGCTCCTCAGGCAGCTCCTGGGCCAGCCGCAGGGGGCTGCTGCAGAAGTCACGGAATCTGTGACTTCCACGACCTCCATGACAAACACGGAGTCTTATTCATGAGTGTAGCCCCTGGCTTCTCTCAATGTGTTCATTCTACAGCTGATTGCTCTTGATGGGCCATCAAACAGGCTACATAGTGCTGATCCCAATCTGTCTAGGGGTGTCACCCAGAAACACAGCGCAGGTTTGAGATGCAGATGTATTACGCATATATATAAAACTTAGGATACAAAGATGATACACACATATAAACAAGGTCATCATACTTAGCAAATCATAACTTTTCTACTGATACTTTACATGTCAAATCTTGTATGATTCATTGCAATTTTGTAATATTCATATCCATATTATAATAAATGGTCACTCATATTCCATGCAGCGTCACACTATGCTATTCCAAAAATCAAAGATCACAAAATGTTTTCATTTCATGGAATGATTCTTTCTTGCTGAATTTAACAGGAGAGAAAGTCTTGGTTATTTGATTCTTTATCAATATTCATCTATACTCAGAGTGTGACATCAAAAAGATGTAGTGCCATCTTACCTGTAATGTCTCTCCTGTGGTGGTAGCCCCCAGGCAATGCTCAGTGAATGAACATTTCTGATTGGAACAACTGAACAGGAAGAAATGTATAAATTGTAATGCAAATGCATGATTTTTCCTGTCTCTTTAATCCTAAGAAACAGCAATGGGCAAGAGATTTTACTTGCTGTAGAAAGGGTGGGAAAGATTCACAAAACTACATATTCTAATTCAATGATGGTAAATCAACCATTCTAAAACTCAAAGAAATAAGAATCTACACAGTGGTATATTCAATACCCATTCAGAACACTTAACACAGAAGACACCAAGGTCACTTACCCCTGTAAAGCTTGTAAAATTCGGGTGTGTCAAAAGGCTGTGTCAGATGGCCAAAGTTCGGTTTGGGTAAACCACTTCAAAAACAAAAGAAAATTATAGCATGATGTTTACTGTTCTGTGCCCATAGTTCTGAAGTGATAAAAACCTGAGATTTCTATGGAACCAGAATATTTCCTCCTTTGATGTGACACTGAATTAGGACACATCATAAGATCCACTCCATCCTGATTAATAGAAAACTTAACAGCCACTATTTCCCTGACCACCTCCACAAACACACACTCTAGTTATGGGCATATCATCTATTCCTCCAGTACCCTCCACTTGTGGCACTGAACCTCCTGAAAATGACATGGCACAGATTTTTGGAGTGTGGGGAAGGTCACACAAAGATTTGCACCTTGCCTCTGGGAGAGGCCCCAATCAAACGCCTTTGCAGATTTGCTTGCACAGAAATGCATTAACAGAATAAGATGCCTTCCAGATTTCTGCCTGTGAAGAGAACAAAATAGCTGTGCATCTGTAGCACATTAGCATGTCTCCTGCACAGCACCAATAAACTGTAGAAGACAATGAAGTGTAATACTTTATAATAGGAGGAAAAGTAAGCCCAAGGTGATTTATTTTAAAATAGAGGGAAGTGGAATTATAGACAATCTGATACCATTGTGCTGCCACAAGAAGACCCAATACATGAGTGATGTATGGTTTCTTAACACTTGTGCTGAAATAAATTAGAAGGCGAAGTATTTAGTCTGTACCACAATGCTTAGCCCTTTTATAGTTAGTACAGAATATTACATTTACCAGTCAGCCAGACTCAAGCATTACCTACATTCTGGGAAAAAGGAGTTAATGCAGCTTCACTGACTTCCCAAGGAGAAAGGGGAACAGATGGTAATGTATAAAAGTGGCAGCAAGATCACTCTATGGGAAGAGTGGAGACTCAGAATTAAGTAGATAAGAATCACTAAAACACATACACAAGACCCTCCACACACACACGGCTGAGAGTCTCGTGGGCTGTGAAAGCATCCTTGGGTTTTTCATTCTCATGTTTCTAATGGAAAAGCTAACATGACACACTTTGTTTACTTATCCATTTTTAAATAACCATGATCTTGTAAGCAGGGATGTGCAGTTTCAGGAAGTGTTTATTAGTCAAGCACTTAACTATGATTAAGGCTAAGATTTTGTCATGGTTATTTTTAGTAAAAGTCACAGACAGATCACGGGCAATAAACAAAAATTCACAGAA